TCCTGCTGATTGACTGAATGAAATGAAATTTGAAGTTTAATGAAACTTTGAGTAATTGTAAACGAATTACAAAATGATGAAATGAATACATTAAAAATAGCAAAAATTCCCTTTGAAAAGATAATATCGCTGATTTCATAGAGAATTTAACACAAATGTTTGATCAACTCTGACGAGATACATAATGGGTTGTTGGATGACTGATAAGAATGATAATGATATGAACTGATATGGAAGAAAGGATGGAATCATAGATGTTACCTTTTTCACATCTCTCATAAAGTCCACCTCGTAAGACTAAAAACTCATTCAACTTCATGCATCAATCATTGACAGACATTAAATATTAGCTAGTATTTCAAGGAAAATTCTTTTCACTGTTAATTTTCTATCTCGTTGAAAGTAACAAGAAATTGAAGTTAGGCTTGATTGAACGTCCGTTGCTAAATTCATTTATGAAAAAAAAAGTGCAAGTCGGAAGTTACCCTTTGTCTCCAACATTTAAATTATATTTAAAAAGACTAATTTAAGCAAGCAATAAGCAATGTGTCACAAACTGAAAGTAAGTATAGTAATTTCCAATTACACAAAAAAAAACTAAATTTTAATTTCGAAAAAAGATATTTTAAAAAAAATTTAGGAGAAAGTATCAAACGTGTTAAAACTCAAATAGAAATCCAACAAATAGAGATGCATAAGTATAAAAATGCGAAATTTGTCATTTGAAGTAAAGTTGGAAATTTTCAGAAAGTCTCAACAATGCAATGAAGCAATGATTTGACTTAAAAGAAATATAGATGGACAAAGTGTATGTAATTGTGCAATTATTAACAATTTGAGTACAATTCTCATATATACAAATAATGTCATCAATGGTAAAATTATCCAAATGATAACATCAATACTCAAGAATTTGCAAGGATTATGTATTTATAGCATTAGCCATAAATCATCATAATGGCCAAGCCAAGATTGCTAGGCTTTTACTTCTTTTTAAGTACAGAATATTGTCCTTTTGAAAATCCAAAAAATATTATTGATTTATGCTTATAAAACAATAAATAAATTATATGAAGCAAGTTTGTCCCTGACTTTTTTCAACTATCCCATTCTGGACATTTATCTATCGAAAGCAAATAGTAGTTTCAAACACATCGCGATGCTTATAGAAATTACGTTTACGGATTTCTACAAACACAGTATTTTCTTCGGTAGAAACGTTGAAATTGAAAATGCATCATTCTGGCATGATCAGAACTACATAGATTTAAAATGATGGTGGTCTGGATACTCTCCGGTATTCAGTACGCCGTGACGGATTAACGGATACACTAAAACAAAGGATACTTACAGTAGTACCTAATTAATTACAGGTACATTTTGCTTAAATATCAAAAGGTCCTATTATCTTTCAATAATTTGCCTAATCAATAAAAGTAAAACCTTAAAAAGTCCAGAATTTTGCTCGTGTAACAAATAGGAACTTGGCTGAAAATTGATTATAGAATGATCTTAAGTTGGTAATTGATATGGATTGCCTAATTGAGAAAAGATTTTATTTTGAAGAAGACTACTTTGTTTCAGCTTTTTTCTGGTTGCTCTTCATCATCCAATCCTTCAGATAGAAACTGTGATCAGCGGGGTCAATAATATTATAATCGATAACATATATTAACATAGAGTGGAATCATTAAGATAGTTTGTTGTAAAGTGATCAATCTGAAAGATAGACAATGATGGGGGGAAAAAGAAATATGGGATGATATGAATCTTCTTTTTTCTCTCTTTGGGATGATATGAATCTTATTGGGATGATATGAATCTTCTATGTCTTCGGTCCTTCTATTACCAAATTATTGTTTATCAAAGAAGCAGTTTAAATAAAAAGTAAAGATGTTGGAAAATATCGCTTTCTGAATTTCTTCACAAATTCATTTTATTACAAAGATTATGTCACATATTTGGTGTTTACTTTCATGGAATATTCACCTAATTTTTTATCAAGATCACTGATTGTTTCGGTAAATTATTGACAAATAATTTGCAATTTCATTTTGTCGCATCATTGGTTTTCCAACGAAATATTTTTAAACAATAGTTATTTATTTGAATAATGATGATTGAGAAATTAAGTATAATACTATGTCAACTATCTTTTTTAATCGTACTTTGAACGATATTTGAAAACTTCTAACGTCTTATACTTTCTTAGTGTTAGTTAGATAGTTTAATTAATTTGATTAGAGAATTCTTAAATTATATTCAATCTTGTTAATTTGCATGTTTTGAAGAGATCTTTTTCAGAACAAGAACTGAGCAGTTGTTTTACCTATGCTTATTTACATTTTTGTTAATAATTTTCTTCATCATCGATAGTAACTATCTCAAGATATCGTTTTGACAAGTTTATTGAAAATAAAACGCAGAAAGTTGAGCCAAAAGCGAAAAGGAAGTAAAATTTGTAAAGATTTATAGCCTGTATCTATAAAATGTCCCTCAATTTTCTTATTTGATTACTTCATGAAGTGAATTTTCGTACTTAATTTCACCGTCTGGTTGTCCCGAGCGGTTTCAATTCTATCCTGATATTAGCATTCCTTTCAAATGTATGGATATTAAATCAGAGGAATTCGCTCAACTCATTAAATAGTTGGTTAGACAGGGAAGTTTGTTTGGAAGCATTTCCTCGAAAATGTTTTAATTATCAATCTCAAAAACGCCATATTTATTAACATTGTATTTCTTTTGGTTTCTTGCGTAAGTCTACGTAACTTTCACGTATCACGCATATGATTCATGCATTAATGTGATACTCTTAGGTTAGCTCAGTCAGTATTTCTGTATGATATGACGTTAACTTTGATCGTCGAAATCAAAATACCGTAATTCTATTAGGCAATCAGCTGCGATACGCGTTGACTATGCAACAAAAAATGATTTCAAACTTGATTAATTACCTTTCAATTGACCTCATCGGTAATTTCGTCAACTATCTGCAGAGGTTTTGATCAAAATCAGTCCTTTTGATTATTGCAGGGTTGTGAATGATCAGATTTCCCTGAAATTTTCATGAAAAATCCGATATTTAAATGTTTCGGGAATATTCGGGACAATTTGTTCTAAAACTCCAAAAAGGGAAGTGCTTGATGAATGAGTCAGGGATGACAGTGATAGACAGTAGTTTTGGTAATGATGGTGACAAATAAGCAATGGTAAGCTTCTTGTAGGAAGCTTTCTTGTCTATGATAAAGAAAACTTTCTACAACAATGAAATTTTATGCTGATCTACAATATATTGTCTTCTCAAGAGAAAGCGTGATTTGAAATACCCTTAAGATATCAAAGTTCGCCCTCTGTTTGATCAATGAATTCATCCGGTTATTATTTCTTATCATTTCTTTTGCTGCAATTCATTTTACATCTTTTTTCGTCCTATACTTTTCCAGTTTTCCTTCAATACACATATCAGTTAGATGTATTCCATTATCAAGTAAATGAAGGTGACGATCGCATCATCTATCCTGAAGATGAGCAATATCTTATTCATCGATTGGAAAATAAGTAACTTTTAACAACTGTGAAATCAAAAAAGTCTATGGAAGTTGATTGAAAGTTTAAATAAATTCTAATTTTAACTGCATCTTCGAAGGATCTTTCGATTACAAAGCAAAAAATTGTCCTTAACAATCGTACAGGTGACGTGACCTTAACTATCATATTCAGCATGAATAATTATTTTTAAAGCAATTTATTAATCAAAAAATTATCATAATAATTTGACAGAGGTGAAAGTAAGCATAGCAAATGGATTGTTAAAAAAAAAAAAACAGATAAATATCCGTACTTGATATTCTTGATATCTGATATGATCAGTTATTACGATCATCATAAAGCCAGGGATCCTTGATAAGGCTAACAAATATAATAGAAAATATCGAAATCACTGATGATGGTGAGGAAGAAAAAAAAAAATGTAAAGATCAATAAAGGTCATTTGGAGATTAACAAGAATATGATCATGAATCATTAGAAAAGTTAACAATTCCTATTTCTAATTTTTTTTGCAAAGTATTTCGTATGTTATAACAATAAACATTTGTTGTTTACAAATATATTTATACTTCGAGTTAGTTTTTCTTTTTTTTTTATTTGTTTGTTGAATCCAGTTGTTTTATATATGTTCAAGAATTTGATTCTTTTCAAACTTGCTGATTACATCCTTAATGGGTATGTTTTTTTTACATCAAATATCCACAATTGTTCGCCGAATGCGTACCAGTTTTCATAAAAAACAAATTTGTGTAAATAAAATTAATTTTTATTTAAATTTGAATCTCAATTTTTTTTGAAGTAAAATATACTTTTTTGATGTTTTTTTTGGGTCTTTTTGTTCAAAATTTATTATCTCATTATTTGATTTATTCTTCGTCGGTAAAAGAAGCATGGATTACAATGATTAACTTTGAGAGCTAATTATACAAGTTATATGCCGAAGATCAACGGAGAAGATTAGTACAGCTAAGATTCTTTAAGATAAAAAATGTTGGAAATAATTGAAAATAATATAATACTTGATAAATTTTTTTCAGAGAATGTTTTTAATACTATTAAAGATAAGATAATATCCTTTAAAGTTTAAAGAAAAAAAAATTGGAATTGACAAATGAAGATGAGTGCATAAGACATAAAATATAAACAGCCAATTATCAAGCATACATTTCTTTCATCGATATTAAATTTAATAAATAAAATTAAAATTTAAAAGATTGGAAAGGCTTATTAATAATATCTCATTGAAGAAATCGATAAATCATATGACATAATAAGTTATCTTTTAATATCATCTTTGACGCAATCAAATACAATTCTAAAGCATTTTCTACGAAAATCTCAATTATAAAACAAATTTCAAGCCACAATTAACGGTTTAGCTTAAAAATATTATCAAAAATACTATCAAAATATTTTAAAATATATTTTATACTTCACATTACAACGATCTACCACAATGTTGAATGTTTTCTAACACCAACCTTATTCTTTAGTTGTCCAATTTTTAAATTTAACCAGCGATATAAATAATGTTTTATAATCTCACGTGCTCTTTTATTGTAAATAAAATGAACGGTAGGTAATGAAGCGCAAATAAAAATGAAATAACAATTGATGAAAATTTTTGATGGAATAATAGCTCTTTCGTCAAAAATTCTACTTAAACATTTTGGTAGGAAATTGAAAGCAATAATTCCAATTTCCATTATAGCACATTCCCATGCAGCTTGAATTAACATTAACCATTCATAGTGATGAATTTTCATTTCATTCATTTCATTTCCAGCACATATGTTCGTCTTTCCTAAATATTAATACATTATGATTAGAAGGTAAATTTTAAGAATTTAATAAATTTCATTGTAACTTTTCAAAATTATCCTTGAAAACAACTTTTTCATTTTTCAGTCTTATTATTAAAGAACGACAAAATTTGATGGTACAAACTTTGATTGTTATCTGTCGCAAAAAGACGTTTATGACGTATACTGTAGAATATCATAATATATATAACAAACTTTACATTCGGTATCAGAATTGCCAAAAAATAACGCATCCTAAAATGTATTAAACAAATAATCTTTAGTAATTGTTGGAAAACCAATTGGAATTTACTGCAACGATGAAGAAGTGAAAAGGGATTAGCTAATACGATACAGTACAGTAATTACTGGTTAGGACAAAATTTTTGTATATCTAAGAGTCTGTTGATATTTGAAATGATACGAAATGTACTTTGTGATTTGAAATGTAAATTTGAAATTTATCGATAATTATGGAAAAACGTATTAAGTGATAACCTCCACCAAATATCTCCTGCTGCACCTGACTTTGTACAATCTGCTTCCCAGCTTACTTTCAAGACATTGAATCGTCTGGTGCAATAATAAATATCAACAGCTGTGTTTGCTGAAAATTAAACACTGATATGAATAGCCGCTAATTAGCTTGGTAAAGGTTATTAAAATTTTGATAATAGCAAAATAGGGCGAAAATTAGGAAATTCAGGTATGAATCAGTATGCAATTTGATAGTATCAGATTCCAGAATGTTAGTTACTGAAGCAAAACGATGATGTTAATTAAATAGTGTTCCAATTGGAAATACTATTTCAGAACCAAATATGGGCAAATATTATTGTATGTCTATCTATATGTTATTTCAAGAAAAGAAAAAAAAGAAGAAAACTGTTTTGGTCATTTTCTGGTGATATCAAAGAATCATACCTAAAACTGATAACCATACGAAAGCGATTAGGAAATACAGTCTTGCTGCCTCGAAAACAATGTAACATTTTGGTAAAATTAACGCCACAAAACGATTTAGTGTCAATAAAAATGAGAAATAGAGTATGGCAAAGAACGGAATGGTAGCAAAAGTTGCAAATATACGGTTAATCCATATCATTTGATCCGCTAAAACATAATTAAATTAGATCAGAAATTTTTTTTTTTTGTTTCCTTCAAGTTAAAATATTCAAAGAGGATAGTTTGTTCACGACATTATATAAAGCACAAATTTCAAATTTTTCAATCCAAATTTTTGAATTATCAATTTTGCTAAAATTGTGCTTGTTAATATCTGAGGAATATAAATAAAACCATCTACCGAATGAACTGTTTTTAGTTCGTAGTATTTCAGGCAATACAACAACCATTTGTGGGATAAAAGCCATGAAACTTGAAATAATCAGCTGTGATCCAATGACAATAAATTCACGACTGTAATGATTATCTCGTCTGCGACAGAATACGATCGCCAACAGTATGTTGCTAACAATACCGTACAGTAGGAAAATGACAAAAAGCAGAACTGCGGTGTATTTTGTAACCTTGTGATTCTCGTCTTTTATATCAACAACATATGTCGTGTTTCTTTTCTGATAAGTTAAGGGTAATATCAGAAATAATACAGTTATACAGTAAAGACGAGTAAACATTATGTTAATCGATAATTTTCGTTTCCAACACAAATTTTAGTACAGTATGAAGAAAAAATCACTTTCAATTGGTATGAAGTTTCACTGCCTGAAATACAAACTACTAAGAATTGCGAGTTCAAATTCCGAAGTAATATATGTGATCACTAATGAGAGTGTATTAATATTCAAGAAGCAATTATAATTTTATCAACAAAATTAGATTTCCATTTCTTTCGCAAACGTCATAGAAAATGATAGCAACAATGTCACCACTATCGTCACTGCTTTTATCCGTACGACCAAATTTTTAGACCGCTCATTGCAGAGCATAATTTGCAGATTATGAGCTGAATTTATTAGTCAGCTAATTCACTTTGTATAGCAATTTATTTTATTTGTCAAGTTACTTTCTTAGAAATAATCAACTAATTATCGCAGTATAAAACGAAATAAATTAAAGACAATTAGCCAATATGAAAGATATAGATTGAAATTTTGTTGCCTTACTCTTACTAAAACACTCTTATCTGCCACTTTAACAACTCATTTCTGATAATCAGTAGAAACATAATAATTTAGTGCCGGTAACAACGATTCGAACTTTCTGAAAAACTTTACTGCTAACAGCAATCTTTTGACTTTTTCAATTTAAATGTAAAATGATTCGTTACTTTTCTCATTCTCTGTCAACAAATTCTAATTAACAAAAGTAATGCATGCATAATGTCAAATATGATAACTAACAGAATAAATCTTTACTAATTAAAAATTATCATTTGACACATTTCAAAATTATAATGACTTCTAATATTGTCATCAATTTTTTCATACCAAAATTTTCGACGTCCCCAATTGCTAATTGTTATTGTTGTACCACAAAATTCCTTGTTTCAAAATTTAGTTAAAAAGAAGATCGTGAAAAGTAAAATGGAGTAAAAGGAACTTGGTGGAGATATCTCTTGATGTCATTTTGTACAGAATCTAACAAATTTGAAATTTAACCCTCAAATCATTAAATTGTAAAACTACAGTTGTAAGCTGCTACATTTGTTTACTCTGAAATGTTAACCGATTTTAGAGCATTCGTAAAAAATTTAATGTTAAGAATTTCTACTCTACAGCAATCAATAATTTTAAACTTCTTAGCTGTTACAATAAGTTTCAATTGATTTTAAAGTGATTAATAGTTTTTCATACTTTAGGAAGCATTTTCTATAGGTATTCTTTGTAGCTAATTCAATGTTCATTATATAGGTCACGATATTCTGCAACATACGTCATAAATGACAAAGTTTGTATTTTAATATGTTTGCGGCTATTACTCCAAAGAAAAGGTGGCCATTGAAGTGTACGTTCATCCATATTCCTCTAGCGGAATTGTTGAGTATTGTGTAAAGGAATATATGTACAAATATAAAACCTTATGAAGAAAAGAATAAGGTAGTATTGAATTTCTTTAAATTGTAAAGATTAAAATTCTCGAATCGTTTTGTGCAAAAGGATTTAAGAAGGCTTTAATTGATTATTGATCGATGATAAAAAGCTTAGCAAATATTATTAAAAAAATACAGAATGACTTTGTGTAGCTTTCAGAGACTAATAACTTGAATCTATTATGAATCAGACAAGCGATGGATGAACTGGAATGTTTGGACGGCCGAAATTATGCATCCTCATTAAATTGGAAATGACTAAGAAACCAAATCATAGATATTTCCGGTTTCTCGGTTTCTCGCTAGCGCTTAACAAATCATTGAAGTGTTCGTTGCCATTGTCAAAAAGTGATTTAGATTAGCACCATCATTTGAAATCTGTCAATGCTACTTTTG